TTTCCTTCTTTCTTGTCTTGTGACTTCTTGTTTTCTTCCTTTATGATGTTCTTGATATCATCCCACAACTTTTCTGGTCTTCAGTCTTTAGTGTTTAATGTACCAAATCTGTTCTTCAGATGATCTCTAAAATTAGGTGGGATATATTCAAAGTCAAAGTTTGGCTCTCGTGGACTTCTTTTCATTTTCTTCAGCTTCAGTTTGAATTTGCATATGAGCAATTGATGGTCTGTTCCACAATCTGCTCCTGGCCTTGTTTTTCACTGATGGGATGGAGCTTTTCCATCGTCTGTTACTGCAGATATAGTCAATTTGATTTCGATGTATTACATCTGGTGAGGTTCATGTGCATAATCATCTCTTACGCTGTTAAAAGAAGGTATTTGAAATGAACAAATCATTGGTTTTGCAGAAATCTATCGTGTGGTCTCCAGCATAGTTTCTATCACCAAGGCCATATTTTCCAACTACTGATCCTTCTTTGCTCCCAACCTGTGTATTCCAATCACCAGTAATGATCAATACATCTTTATTGCATGTTTGATCAATTTCAGATTAAAGAAGTTGGTAGAATTCTTCTCTTTCATCCTCACTGGCTTTAGTGGTTGGTGCATAAATTTGAATAATAGTGGTATTAACTGGTTCTTCCCTGTAGGCGTAAGGACAGCATTGTACCTCATGACTGAACTGGATATGTTCTTTGGACAATGAATTCAACCCTATTTCTTTTCAATTTATCATTCCCGGCATAGTAAACCTTGTGGTTGTCACATTCAAGATGGCCAGTACTGGTCCATTTCAGCTCACTAATGCTTAAGATATCAATGTTAATGCATTCCATTTCATTTTTGACAATTTCCAATTTTCCTAGATTCATACTTCGTGCATTCTATGTTCTGATTATTAATGGAAGTTTACAGTTGTTTCTCTTCATTTTGAGTTGTGCCCCATCAGCAAATGAAGGTCCTGTTGGCTTTACTCCCATGGGCTTTACTCCATTTGCATCATCACGGTCAACTCTTTGAGGAGGCAGCTCTTCTCTAGTCGCATTCTGAGTGCCTTCCAACCTGAGGGGCTCATTTTCCAGCACTATAGCTGACAGTGTTTCTCTATTATTCATAAGGTTTTTAGTGACTAAATATCCGGAAGTAGTTCGTCATGCCTTCTTCCTAGTCTGTCTTTGTCTGGAAACTCAGCTGAAAACCTATCCACCTTGAATGAGCTTACTGATATTTAAACTACTTGTGGCAAAGCTTCCAGAATTACAGCAACTCACAAGTCATCACAGTACGAGAAACTGACAGACAGAGGAGTGGTGGATCTTATTATTATTTTCATTATTATTATTTAATTGTAAAAATACAGATGAAATGACATTTGCGAGTTCAGCATATTTCATATGTTGATGTTCGTACAGTTCAGTAAATGTTTTTTATAATGTTGTGCTGGTAGATTCTGTCGAGTTGTTTTTCTACTCATAGTGAGTAACTCTGTATATCAGGTGAAATTCCACAGTGTTTTCTACCCATAGCGCCACACCGGGACTCCCAATCTTTGTTGTTGTTATGTGCTGTGGAGTTGGTTCCAACTCACAGCTACCCTGTACAGGGTTTATGAGGCTGTAAATATTTGCCGGAGCAGAAAGCCTCATCTTTTTCCTGCGGAACAGCTGGTAGTTTCGAACTGCTGACCTTCAGGTTCGCAGCCTGATTTGTAACCGCTATGCTACCAGAGCCCAATCTTTACTGGATTAGATTACCAAGTCTTTCACCAACAATTGCCATCCTCTTTAGGTGGTCTCCCCCACTCCTAAATTATACAAGTTTGAACCCCGGGAAGCCCACTTAGTCCAAAGTGGTCCATCCTCTTCCATAGGCCAGATGGCAAACTACAGAAATACCTATTATTTGTCTTGCTTCTCTTTATTATTCTCTGTCTGTGTTGTAGTTATGCTGTAATGTTTGTTGGTAGTTGTTTGCCTATCTGTTGCTGAATGTCATTTCTGGTCCAACCATGGCCCAGGCCACAGCCATAAAGCCAGTTTGAGGTGAAGAATGCAGTGTTTTTAAATTGACATTCTGTGGGAAAATGCATTGTACAACAAGGTCGGTTTGAACTACAAGGTCGGAGGTTCAAATTTACCAACTGTTCCTCAGAAACCCTATACAAGGCCCTTATGAGTTAGAAATAACTCGAAGGTGCTTAACAACAACAACAACTTTTTCTCAGTGATTTATTCAGTGTGCCAGGAAGGTGGAGGCCTCGTGACGGGCCAGCATCTGCGCACCCTAGTAAACTGGAAAGCCCTGTGTATTCCTAGAGCACTCGTTCCAATTAGTCCTTCTTCCAGGGTGTTGTATTTCAGAGCTATGTCTTTCCTGGCCAGTGCGACTTGGCTTAGTGCTATAAATTCTTCAGGGACAGAACTCCTTAACATTGAATCTCTGAAATCGAAGATTTAAGTAATGTGCATTGTCTTCCAGAGTCCCTAGTGTCCTGGGGAATTGGTCTTCCTGACTCTTGTAACCAATTCTGCATAGAGCATAGAGAGGTTGAAGCATGCTTTACTAAGCTATTTAACTCTTCCCCTTTCCCACTTGGTCCCCCAGCTCCAGTCCTAAGGACAGTGATACCTATCTTTTACTTAACTAAGGGAACATTCAAGTAGCTTTACTCTCAACAAAAAAGATCCGTGTGACCTAAGATCTCTGCCCCTAAACATGAAAAAGACATAAGATATATTTTTAAAAACGTTCCCTTAATCTCTGCTTTGACAGATACCCTGCTATACACTTTTAATGGTTTAAGATATTGCCGTGAACTGTAATGCAATCCAGATAAGAATGACCCGAAGTTAAGCCAAGCTACCTAAGCGAAGGGTGCAGTCCGCCACAAGACTGCTTTCATTTCATACATCACTTAACAAGCTTGGGAATCCCCAGGACCCCCATACTTCTGACCTACTGGTTGTAATGAAGGAGTCCCCACTACCCCCTCTGGTTCAGTAATTCAGTAGAAGGACTCACAGAACTCAGGAAAATGCTATAGTTACAATTACAACTTTATTATAGCAGAAAAACAAAGCAAAACCCAGTGCCATGGAGTTGATTCCTACTCATAAGGACTATTTAGGGTTTCCAGGATTGTGAATCTTTATGGGAGCAGACAGCCTCATCTTTCTCCCACAATTATAGCTAAGTGATACAAAAAAAAACCTTGAGATTAGCAGTCTAGTGCTTATCCTACAGAGCCATACCAGGAATCCCCAATTATACTTGTTGTTGTTGTTAAGTGCCTCTGAGTCGGTTCTGACCCATAGTGGCCTTGTATAGGGTTCCCAAGGAGCAGCTGGTGAGCTTGAACCGCCGACCTTGCAGTTCAAACGGCTTTGCAGTCTGACTCATTAACCCACAGCGCCACACTCCCCTAAATGTAATGACATAAAATATAGAAATACATTTCTTGAGATAAAAATTGTTATCTGGGCAATTTGACTGAAAAATTTTTAAATCCATTGATTTCAGGGTCATAAAATAAAGACTCTTGACTAATCTGAGCTCAGTTACAGTAAGAAAAGTGGCAAAAATTATCTTTGATGTTTTTATATGATAAGCAGATGGAAAACACAAGTGACTTTCTTTGAGCATCTTTATAAAACTATACTCCAAAAAAATAAAGACCAAGAATTGACATGTTGTTGTGAAGTGCAGTTGAGTTGATTCTGACCCATAGCGACCCTGTATCGGATTTCCAAGGAGCAGTTGGTGAGCTTGAACCACTGACATTGCAGTTCAAATGACTTTGCAGTCTGATGCATTAGCCCACAGCACACACGGGACTCCAACAATTTGCATAACAATCCCTAAAGACAATGTTCTACATCCTACTTTGCAGAGTAGTGACTGGGATCTTAAATGCTCATAATCAGCCATCTAAGGTACACCTGAGGAACCCTGGTTGTGCTGGAGGATAAGCACTAGACCACTGACCACAAGGTCAGCAGTTCTAACGCAGTTCTAAGCCTTCTGTTCCTGTAAACATTTACAGTCTCGAAAATCCTATATGTGGTTCCTGTGAGTCACTATTGATTCAGTGGCAGTGGGTAAGGGGCAACTATTGGTTTCTCTCTGTCCAGAGGAAAGAGGATTGATGAAAACTGAAGATGTTTTGAAACAATTAGTTCATTGACTAATGGACCAACTGAACATGAGTGTCTATGACTTTGAGACCAGAAAAACTAGATGGTGCCTAGTTCTGGCCACAGCTACCATAGGCTCTGAAACAGATCACATTAGAAGGTCCTGGATAGAGTGGGAGAAAACGTAGAACAAAACTCAGAATCATAAAAAGACCAGGCGTATTGGTCAGATAGAGACTTGTGAAACCTCAAGACTTTGGTCACCCTTCAGGTCTGGAACTGAACTCACCACTGTGACTCAGTTTTCATCCAAGTGTGGTGTGCTGCGGGTTAATGCGCTGGACTGGAAGGTCCATTTGAACCGTAAGGTAGACGATTAAAGCTCATCAGCTGCTCCTCAGAAACCCTATATAGGGCTGCTATGAGTCGGAACCAGTCCAACGGCACGTCACAACAACAACATGGGGGGTGGGGGGATAAGAACACTAGTGAGGTACACACACCATAGAATACAATCAGAAGGGCAACATTTACCTAAAGGCAAATGTCAGAAGGATTGGGAAAGAAGGAGGAATGGAAACAAGAACAGGGAGGAAGTGATGTCACATTGAGGGGAGTGTAGTCATTGAGATGAAACGAATGCATGATTTGTTGAATGTAAACCTTCACTCAAGGCCTTGTGGGATAAACCACGAGGTGGGCGGTTCAGATTTACCAGCTGATCCTTGGAAACCCTGTACAGGGTCACTATGAGTCGAAATGACCTCAAAAAAGTATATATTAAGTGAATTAATGATTAAATGTATCTCACTTTAAGTGATAAATATTCAGGAGTGTTAATTTTGTTCTTTTCTTGTTTTAGATACAGATGAATATAGACCTCCTGTTTGGAAATCTTACTGTAAGTATACAGATAATTTAAAAATTGAATGGGCTATATATAGTACTTTATAAATAATATAAAAGGATTAGGAAGATTGGATGTAACAGTTTAAAACACTATTCATTCCATTTTGTTTCCATGATAGAAAAATTCATTCACAACAGGATTTGGGAATGGCATAGGAAAAGTTAATTCTGTTGAAACAGGAGTGTTGCATGTCTGGAAAGCATCTCATTTCCGTTTGCTTATGTGAAATTCCAGGTAGTGGCACTTGAGACTATTTATTGACAGTAGCTGATGGAATTAATGATGCAAGGAGAAGCTAACTAAGAACTCAAGCAATCAAATTATTTTCAGTTTGTAATCACTTACATGAAAAGGAATATATAATGAGTGAAAAAGAAAAAAAGAAATCTTGTTTTGTAGAAATTGATCCCCCAAAATATAAGTGAAACCCTTTTGATTTCTGTTGCTCTTTAAATTTTGCATTAGAATAAAAAATTCTTTCATAAGAGTCTAGGGTCTTAGCCATTTATTTTCCCTTCCTTATTGTCCTACAGCATAGTATCTCACCAAGTAAAAGGTGTTTCAAATTTTTAAAAAATGGAAATAGGACTAATAGAATCCAAAGCGTTTTTGTTGTTTTTTCAAGTAATGAGTGCACTTTTGGAGAAACTGGGAGCACAGTGGCTCCATACGGTAAGCACTAAACTGCTAATTATAAAGCCACACCATGGGAAAAAAATGAGTCTTTCTGCTTCTGCGAAGATTTAAAGCCTTGGACCTATACGGAGTCGCTGTGAGTCAGAATCCACTCAACGGCACTTAGAAAAACAATTGGAGAAACTAGTACTGCAAGATATGTCTGTTGTCTGTAGAGATCAGTAAACAACCTAAGTAAGATATCTACACTTGAAATATAGAATAGTAACACTTACTAAATGTTGAGCATTATTCTGAATTTTGTGTTTGTAAAGTTGGTGAAATTTGCTGACTGAGGAGCAACAATTCAGTTTCTTGCTGGCTATATGTTTCCAGAACAACAGATAGTTTTATTTTAATAAGATGTCACTTTGGGCTAATTATAGTAAGTAAAATATGAACAGTGTATAAAAATATTGCCATGAATCCTATTTTTTTTCTTTCCCCCTGCTGGTGCCTTTTTGTTTCTGGGAGCATAGTTCTAAGAATGTCTAAAAATGATTAATGTTCTTTACCTCTTAAAGATTTTGTTACATATTCTCATTGGCTGGAAGCCTATTTAAAATTCTTCTCTGCATTTTCTGTTTTCAACTCATCGTTGTCCCCTTTGCCCTTGACTTGGGCCCTCCACATTTTTATGTAAAGCATTTATGAAATCTCAGATGTTACTGAATCATGGTGGTGATTTTTTTTCTCCTGAAGAATATTGATTAGTAAATATAGTAATAAGAAATGTAGTAAATACAATATATGCAATTTGTATTTTGTGTCTTCAAATGTCTGATAGTAGCTACCATTTGTCTTAAAAAAATGGCATATTTCTCTTTTTGTTAACAGTTTTTTAGTTACCCTTAATGATTTCAATACTTGAGCTCCCCACCATCATTTTAATAATAGAAACTAGGAGAAAATTATTAGAATCATCTTTTTATCAACAGATCATTAAATGGAAAAAACAAACAAGTAAAAACCTTTGCAGTAGGGAAATATTAATGGTAAGCAGTGCTAAGATCAACAGGAATGATACATTTTTAAATTACTCTTATAGACTCATGATGTTGATCTTCCCAGAATACAGGCTCTCCCCACTGTGGGAAAGCCGAGCTTTCATATGAAACCATTGGTAACAGTGGTAAGCAGAAATGGTGTAGAGCAAAAAGCAGCACTAATTTATAAAGGAAAAATATTTGAGCATTCGAGACTCAAAAAATATCCTTCCCAGTCATACTAAATAACACATTAAGAACTAAAGTAATGCTAAAAGACAGACTTCACAGACACAGTTCAAAGCTGTGGTGGCTTGATGCTGAGGTGCTGAGTGCAGCCCCGGGGAAGGAGCTTGGTGAGGACCCTCTTGGGGGGCACTGCCTCTTTATCAGCACTGAATGCTAGTTCTGCTATTCACCTTTTCTTGTAAAAGCGAAAATCCTCTTCAGATTTATCTTTTATAAATATAAAAGCTAAGTTGTGGAGTCCTGGTATACTGTTGTAGGATAAGCACTGGACTGCTTATCCTGCAAGGTTGGAAGTTCAAATCCATCACCCACTCCTTGGAAACACTGTAGTGGGTTGCTATGAGTTGGAATCAACTTGCTGGTTTGTTGTTGTTAGGTGCCATTGAGTTGGTACCGACCCATAGAGTTGTTATGCCCAACAGAATGAAACACTGCCCGATCCTGGGCCAACCTCACTACTGTTGCCACACTTGAGTCCATTGATGCTGCCACTTGGCCAGTTCATCTTGTTGGGGGTCTTCCTCTTTGTCTCTGACCCTCCATTGTATCAAACATGATATCCTTCTCCAGTGACTGGTCCCTCCTGACAATATGTCCGAAGTATGAGAGACGAGTTTGGTCATCTTGGCCTCTAAGGAGCACTCTGGCTGCACTTCTTCCAAAACGGATCTGTTGGTTCTTTTGGCAGCCCATGGCACTTTCAGTATTCTCCTCCAACACCATAACTCAAAAGCATCAATTCTTCTATGGTCTTCCTTATTCACTATCCAGCTTTCGCATGCATATGAGGTTATTGAAAACACCAGGGCTTGGGTCAGGTGCACCTTAGTCCTCAAGCTGACATCTTTGCTCTTCACCACTTTCAAAAGGTTTTGTGCAGCAGATTTGCCTAATGCAACATGCCGTTTGATTTCTTGACTGCTGCTTCCTCGAGTGTTGGTAGGTGATCCAAGGAGAATGAAGTCCTTGACAACTTCCATCATTTCTCCATTGATAAGAATGTTGTTCATTGGTCCAGTGGTGAGGATTTTTGTTTTCCTTATATTGAGATGTAATCTATACCTAAGGCTATGCTCTTTGATCTTGATCTGTTAATGTTTTAAGTCTTCTTCACTTTCAGCAAGCAAAGTTGTATCATCTGCATATCGCAGGTTGTTAATGAGTCTTCCTACAATCTTGATGCCACGTTTTTCTTCATAGAACCCAGCTTCTCGGATTATTTGCTCAGCGTACAGGTTGAATAAGTATGGTGAAAGAATTCAGCCTTGTCGTACACCTTATTAAATTTTAAAGCATTCAGTGTTCCCATGTTCTGTTCGAACAGCTGCTTCTTGGTCCAGGTACAGATTCCTCATAAGCACAATTAAGTGTTCCGGAATACTCATATTTCGCAATGTTGTCCATAGCTTGTCATGATCCACACAATCGAAAGCCTTTGCATAGTCAATAAAGCACAGGTAAACATCTTTCTGATATTCTCTGCTTTTAGCCAAAATCCTTCATACATCAACAATGATATCCCTCATTCCACGGCCTCTTCTGAATCGGCTTGAACCTCTGAAAGTTCTCTGTCAATGTATAATTGCAGCTGTTTCTGTATTACCTTTAGCAAAACTCTACTCGCATGGGATAGCAAAGAGATTGTCTGATGATTTCCACATTCAGTTGGGTCACCTCTCTTTGGAATGGGAACAAATATGGATCTCTTTCAATCAGTCGGCCAGATAGTTGTTTTCCAAATTTCTCGGCATAGATGAGTGAGTGCCTCCTGTGCCGCATCACTTTCTTGAAAGATTTCAATTTGTATTCCATCAATTCCTGGTGCCTTGCTCTTTGCCAATATCTTCAATGGACCTTGGACTTCCTCCTTCAGTATCATTGACTCTTGATCATATGCTACCTCTTGGAATGGTTGAACATTAACCATTTCCTTATTGGTATAGTGACTCTTTGTATTCCTTGCATTTTCTTTTGGTGCTTTCAATAATTTGCCCAGGGACTCTTTCAATAACGAAAGTTGAGGCTTGAATTTTTTCTTGAGTTCCCCCAGCTTGAGAAATGCTGAGTGTGTTCTTCCTTTTTGGTTTTCTGATTCCTGGTCTGTGTACATTTTGTTGTAATATTTGGCTTTATCTTCTCAAGCTGATCTTTGAAATTTTCTGTTCAGCTCTTGGACCTACTCATCTCTTCCATTTACTTTAACATCTCTACACTGGAGAGCAAGTTTCAGTGTTCTCAATGACTTTTTGCTTTCTTCATGTATGATGTTCTTGATGTCATCCCACAACTCTTCTGGTCTTCGGTCTTTAGTGTTTAATGTATCAAATCTGTTCTTCAGATGATCTCTAAATTCAGATGGGATATATTCAAGGTCATATTTTGGTTCTTGTGGACTTGTTTTCATTTTCTTTAGCTTCAGTTTGAATTTTTAAGGAGTAATTGATGGTCTGTTTCACAGTCTGCCCCTAACCTTGTTTTCACTGATGATATGGAGCTTTTTCCATTGTCTCTTTCCGCAGATGTAGTTAATTTGATTTTTATGTATTCCATCTGGTGAGGTCCATGTGTATGGCTGTCTCTTATGCTGTCTACAGAAGGTATTTCAAATGAACAAATCATTGGTTTTGCAGAATTCTATCATTGGTTTTCTAGCATTATTTCTATCACCAAAGCCGTATTTTCCATCTACTGATCCTTCCTCTTTGTTCCCAACCTTTGCATTCAATCACCAGTAATTAATTGCATGTTTTATTGATTTCGGATTGAAGAAGTTGGTAGAATTCTTCTATTTCCTCCTCAACTGGCTTTATTGGTTGGTGCGTAAATTTGAATAATAGTGATATTAACTCGGCTTTTCTGTAGGCACATGGATAATATCCTATCACAGACAGCACTTAACAATAAATAATAACAAGTGATGTAAAACAAACTTGCAAAGTGGGGGATACCTGTACATGTAAATTTTAATAAGAATGGATGGGGAGGTGGAGCGTAAGGTAGGAAATAGACACAAGATAGTTTGGGTGCTGGGATGGGGGCAGTACACTACAAGGGGGAGGAAAATGGAAGAACAAGGTGGAT